GATCGAATTGAAGAATGATGTTTGAATCAAAGTTGTAGTCAGATGAGTTAGCTTTCCAACGCATTTTGAATCGCTTCAATCGAACATCGGAATACAAAGTTATGATAAAAATATTGAAGGAAAGTGTAGCTACCTGTTTAAAACAAGAAATCCCGTTACATAATCCGTTAAAACAACAAATTCCATTAGTTTTTCCGTTAAACCAACAAATTCCGTTAAATAGGCACTTTTTATATATAGAAAGATATAGGTAGACGATCTTCGATTTTAAGTGACTAAAATTATGAATACTCCAATAAAAAAATGAACTGGGATACCATCTTTAATAGATTATAATATTATTTCATATGTGTGCGTGCATATATATTATATTATTTATTATTTATATACGTTATCTTCACTTAAAATCAATGTTTATCTACTTATATAATGACAGTATATATGAAAAAAAAAATGTGGAGATATATGAAAAAGTTTCAATTTACCATTTTGTCCTTGTTTAACATTGTCAACATAAACATAAAGGTAGATTTTTATATGTTCATTTTTTTATATAAACATAAAGCACTGGGTATTCTTATTAGTATTGTATGTTCATTTTTATATAAACATAAAAATTGATGGTAATCCAATTACTTATTGTATAAATATATAAAGAAAAAAAAATTTATCTCGAGCCATTTAAAGGTAGATTTTTATTCCTCCGTTTGTATTAATCCCATTCAAAAGAAAAAAAAAAAAAAAAACTTACAACAAACAAATAAGTAAACAAAACATTACATTTCAGTTTATTCACAATTCTCACATTATGAACGTAATTTCATAAGACTTTTATCATATATATATTCTTTAACATTATCAATTACTTTATTTTATAAATATTATGCATATCGCTCATCCGTACATAAAACGTGCAATGCAGGTGCTTACTAAAAAGGAGGCTTGATAATTAAGATTTTGATGAGCTTGTTGTAAGTAGAAACTATAGCATCAAAAGGTCTAGTGATAGGCATGGCCAGGCCGTGGAAACTTTTTGTCCTTTTGAATCCTAGCATTGCAAATAATTTGAGTTTTGTTAAATTCATTATCAAATTTTACATTATGCGTCAAAACGTAGTCGTATCAACTCATTTTACATTCTCCATCAACAAACAATAACTCAATAATTAAGATCTTAGCTGTTTAGTAAGCTTGATACATTT